AATGTGCTTTTCCTTTTTCTTTTCATTTTCTTTTCAATTTTTTTTTTGTCTTAAACCCCACCTCTTCAATTCTTTTCTCCTATATTTTCCATGCACAAAAATCTTGTGCTCTTTGGGTTTGGACTGTGTTGGTTTTCTTGGAAAGAAGTGAGTGATATCTGAACTTTTGTTTTCTCGAAATTATAGATGCTGCATAATGTTTTACAGGTCCAAAATGCTATTGATTTTCTGAAAAGGATTGGAGCTTTGGATGAAAATGAGCATCTTACAAATCTCGGTTAGTATGTCAAACTCTACTATAAATGATTATGTTTTGCTGGAGGACATCCTCTTACAAATTGCTATATATGCTTCATTAGGGAGGTATTTGGCAATGCTGCCAGTGGATCCTAAACTTGGAAAGATGCTTATAATGGGCGCCATCTTCCACTGCTTTGATCCTGTCCTAACAATAGTAGCAGGTCTTAGTGTTAAGGATCCTTTTCTTTTACCTCAAGACAAAAAGGATGTAAGTCCTCACTCTTTGCCATATTTTTTGCCTGCTATTGGGTTTTCTCTCTCTCTCTCTCTCTCTCTCTCTCTTGTTATAATTGGTTGTTTTATTAAAATTGCCAATTTTATAAAAGTTGTATTTATTGATTAGTTTCTTTTTTTTTACATATAAATACATTTTTCTGAGGTCCTTTGCCTTGATAAAATAAAGTAAATTAACCATTATGCTTCATGGACAAACATATATAGTCGTGAGCGAGTTAATTAATAGAGAATAGAATACATAATTAAGTTACATAAAAATATATCTTATCCAGAGTGTGTAAATGGACCTAAACTGAATAAGTTAGTATATGCTAGGGGTGTTAAGGAAAGAGGAAATTCTTTATGCTCTGTTTGGGGGAAAGGGACTCATATGGAATTCAGGAATTGAACAAATCCTTTGTTTGGAAGCTAATAGAATTCGGAAATTGGATTCTATTTCTATAATATTTATTAAGAATTATAGAACTAGATATCGAAATTGTTGTTTTTTTCTGCACTAAATTTGCTATATCTTTCCTCACTTTCTCCTGATGGGTAAAATTCTGAAGATGGAATTCTAGTTTCGCCCAAACATATGCATTGGAATTGGATGTCAGGGTATTAGTTCAGGAATTGAAATGGAATTTATTATTTCAAGCACAACCTTAGGACTTTACATTTGACAATCTTCAGTGTTTGAATTGCTAACAAGTATTTGTCTATAGGTGTTCTGATGCAATTTACTGAAATACCTTGGAGTTGGACATGTAATCATTAGGACAATTCCAATGGCCTAGCACCTACACCCTCAAATATAGCTGTAATATACTTCCCTTATTATGCTAGCTCGAAATTTCCTAAATGTTTTAAGCTCTTGCAATAGCTTAATAATATGCCTTGAGTTTCTTGGATTGGAGTAACAAGGGTGTGAAAAGTAAGTAAGGCTCTAATTAGCTTTAAATAGTAGTTTATATATGCATATTAATTATAACTTTGTGATAATATGAATGCTTTGGAGCATTATCTATACTATCATTAATATTCTTGGTAATCTGGTATATTATTATTACTAATTTCATTTATAATCAGTATTGCTTCATAATTATCATTATCATTGTTATTGTTCTCTCACTAAGCATTTCAATCTTTGCTAAAGATGGATTTTTTTGGGTGCACATTGGCTGTCTGTGAAAGCTTGTATTCAGTATAAGTTTACAGTCTTTGACAAACCTAACTGATTGTTTTAATAACCTTGGTTCAGCTAGCTGGGATTGCAAAGGCCAGGTTTTCTGCTAAGGATTACAGTGACCATATGGCTCTCGTTCGTGCATATGAAGGATGGAAAGATGCAGAGCGAGAGGGATCAGCTTATGAGTACTGCTGGAGGAATTTCCTCTCTGCCCAAACTCTTCAGGCAATCCATTCTATTCGGAAGCAGTTTAGTTTCATTTTAAAAGACGCTGGCCTAATAAATGAAGATGTGAGCTCAAATAATAAGCTGAGTCATAATCAGTCATTGGTCCGCGCAGTCATATGTTCTGGCCTGTTTCCTGGCATAGCATCTGTTGTGGTGAGATACTTTTGTTCTGAGCCAATTTTTATAAATGAGTTTGCCTTGTCAGAGGATTGACATGTAATGTCTTTGGTTTTTGTAGCACAGAGAAACATCAATGTCATTTAAGACTAAGGATGATGGGCAAGTCTTACTCTATGCGGTATGTGATGAACTTGTTGAATGCTGTAGTTTTTACTTTGGCAGTCGTCATAATGTGCAATAGTGATATATTGAGTCTTTAACTGACTCTCTTAAATATGACGCTCTCATGGGTCCCCCCCCCCCCCCCCCCCCCCCTTTTTTTTTCTGGGGTCCCTTAGATTATCTGTATGGTGGTTGTTCAGAAGTTGGATTGTAGAAATGAATTTGGCTTTAAGGTTAATAGCAACTGTAGCATAGTTATATCTTTTGCAGATTTAGATTTGAGGTACAACTCCCTGCTTTATTATATCCACTCATATAATCACTGTCTGACACTCTGACTAATGGAATCTTTGGTGCTCTGAAGCTCAACAATCTTGGGGTACAAAATATTATTTGATGGATCTTGGATAAAATTTTAGAAAATCATGATATCTTTCTTTTTTTTTTCTCCGCTTTACTTGTACTTCTTTGCTGATCAGTATATCTAATTTTATGCATTAGCTTGGTTGTTTTGATCTGTTTTCCAATCTCGTTGACTGGCATTGGAGATCAGCTTTCTGAGCAATTATGTAGATTCTTCTAATTTATTTATGAATTACTCATTTGTTTTCTTGAGTCACTTAGTGTATCATGTAGCCTCTTCTGGCCATTTGTATAGCTATTTAGCTAATAACAGCGTTTGTTTTCTTTTTTAATATTTCATTTAGAATTCAGTGAATTCACGGTACCAGACAATTCCTTATCCATGGCTGATTTTTGGAGAAAAAGTAAAAGTCAACACAGTTTTCATACGTGACTCGACAGGTGTCTCTGATTCTATATTGATCCTCTTTGGTGGTGCTCTTAGCAATGGGACACAGGTGATTCCTCCCCGTTCCCTGGTGGGGACCTTGTGCCTATTCAAATTTTTTTGCCTAATTATCACAATTGCTAACTTGTGAATAACTTGTATATTCTTTAGCCTGGACATATAAAAATGTTGGATGGCTATGTTGAATTTTTCATGGATCTGAACACAGCCGAATGCTACTGCAAGCTGAAGGAAGAGCTTGATAAGCTTCTACAAAAAAAGGCAAGGCACTGCTATGTTTTTATTGTTTAGTATATTCTCATGACAATCAGAAATGATATTTTGATTGTTTACATCGAATCAATCATATGAATTTACCTCTTCTCATGACAATCAGAAATGATATTTTGATTGTTTACATCGAATCAATCATATGAATTTACCTCATAACAGTTTTAGTGATTTGCTTATGCTTATATATGGCTATGCGCATGATTATAAATATGAAGTATCTAAACTGATTTGTATTTCATGGATTATAATTTACTTTGGATGTGTTTTTTGGTGATAAGTTTGAGATGCTTAGAACTTGAGGAGGGTGTTTAAGGGATGGTAGGAGATATTATTAGCTAGAGAATTTCCTGTAGTTAACTTTCTGCTCGAAGAAATTGTGCTTGGCTGATTGTGTTCAAGATAGCATTGCATCATTCCCAGTGTTAACTGGAAATAGAGAAGCCATATATTATTTTAAAATTACACGTGATGTTTCATTGTCCTTTGTTATGTGAAATTATGTTGATAAGGGGAAAGGATAGAAGAATGTCATATCCTAGGCTCTAGAATGAACTTTCTTTAGAGACATGAATGTTCATTTCTTTTCTGATTTTCTACATGATAAGAGTTTGTTTTGGCTGCAAAATTAAATCAATCAATTTTCAGTCTTTATGGCATATCTGATTACTGTTATCTTAAATGTTTGCAACAACACAGCTTGAAGATCCGACTTTCGACATCTTAAAAGAAGGAAAGTACCTAATGTTTGCTGTCCAAGAACTAATATCAGGAGATCAATGTGACGGGAGATTTGTGTTTGGTCGTGAAAGCAGGAAACTTAAGGATCCTGTAGACAGCAATAAATTCTCGAAAGATGGAATGAACCCAAAGAGCTTGCTGCAGACTCTATTGATGAGAGCTGGACATTCTCCTCCTAAATACAAAACTAAACACCTGAAAACCAATGAGTTCAGGGCACTGGTGGAATTCAAGGGGATGCAGTTTGTTGGAAAGCCCCAGAGAAACAAGAATCTTGCAGAAAAGGATGCTGCTATAGAAGCTTTGGCGTGGTTGACTCATACTGACAACAAAAACGAGAACCAGGATGATAATTCCCCACCAGATGTCACTGATAATATGTTGAAACTTCTTGGGAAACGTAGGAAATCTAAGCGCCGTTGATATTCTTTGGCTACCTTCATGTATTGGCAACTCGCAACATATGAGGACATTTGTGAAATGAAAATGCATCACGGGATTTGCTTTCAGTTATTCTATCCGGATGTTGGGAGGAAAGTTGGAGATGTAATTGTTTTCATGTGATTGTATAACATGGCTTCTGCCTTCATGTTAAAATTAGGTCCATTGTAATTCGAGGGGGTTCAAGAATTAATTGTTGTACAGGGTGCCATTGTATTCAATTCTCTGACATATAATGACTATGGAATACCATTCAGATAGCTTTCAAATGTAAATGAACATACACAATATGAATGATTTGATAATGAGTTCTGTTATACGAATATCACCTTAATCTTTTATAAGCAGCATCTCTTCTATAATGTGATTGAACTTGTTTAAATTTGGTCTGTGATCGGAATCTGTAGTTTGTAATGCGTGATAAACAGGTTATTTGTCAGTAGATAATGGATTATATCGTTGAAACTTGAAGACAGAGAAATTAGAAAATACCTAGCAAGTAATTCATTGACAATGGCGAAACAACAGATGTAAATGTTTCATTCATCAGCATCAGCCCGACGATTCACTTAATTCGTTAGGGGCAAGTTGAGTTGCTGAACTAATGTTGCAGACTTGCAGCTGCTACTACTATTATTATGTACTAGAGCTACCAATAGTACTTAGATAGCTAGTCAGTTGCCATTACAAAAGTTTTTCGACTCCACAGCTCTGCATTATCCAGAGAAGTAATCAAACAACACCGATTTTGAATGCCAACCTTCAGCAAAGATAGTAGAGGCACACAATTCCCAAGATGGTGATCTCCAGTTGCAGCAAGTACCTGCTCGAATTAACTGCATTGAGGTTACTGTAACCGCGAGATAAATGTGGGTCATGCTTATCATGATCTCCATTACCACTGCCTTCTGTCGGGGTGCTACCAGGCTGCACTGGCTGAGCTGCTGCACTGTTGGACTGTGGGGTCTGGTCAAGTGGGTTATGCTGATAAAGAACCTCGACACTAAGCTTCAGACCCATGGAGCAATGGTGAGGCCTGCCACAGACGAAGTACCTCCAACCAGGCTGGCTGAGCAAGATTACTGTCTGCCCGTTGGTGTCCTCATAGGTCGATATAGGGCTGGTGGTGCGACATGTAGCAAAATCCGATTTAGTAAGTTCAATGACGTCATGATCTGGGGTGTAGTTGAACACTGCCATAGTCATATGTAGCGCAACCATACGTTATTCAATCAATAATCACGGCTCTAAAAATCCGCTATGAATCCATAACCAATTACTCTACAAGATTAATCATAATCACATTCATTACTTAAACCAATTTACAAACCTACATTTTCCATAAACGATCCATAAAATTAGCTAGTAAAGTATCCAATTAATAACACTGAATTTGTCTCAAAATCACAGCATCAACGAAAAAAGTTGGACCAAATTTCAAAATAACAGAATCAACCAAAAATTAGACCAAATTTCAAAATAAGATGATCAACCAAAAATGTTGGACCAAATTTTACAAAAAATTAATCCACCAAAACAGTTGGACCAAATTTAAATAATATCATCCATTACTTATACCAATTCACAAAATAACAATCTATTATAGTGAACAAACATGATCAAGCAACCGCAAAATCACTTGTATAGTTGTAAATATACGATAATTTTCAACTTAATTTTCAAGAAGATAAACCAGAGGTAAAATGATTTCATTCAAAAAACATGATATAGCAATCATCAAAGAATTTAATGTAAGCTTGAATTAGAAGAAGAGAGAGATACCGAGGGAGTCGTTAACGACGAAAGAGGTAGAAGAAGACCAGAGCGAGATATTGGAGGAGAGATCCCAACCAGAAGAATCACCAACTGTATGATTAACAGCAGCCGATGCACACCGAAACATAATCGCCGACAGTATCAGAATCACCATTATCGCCTTCACAGTTGATGCTGGACTCATCATTCCTTCCATTTTTGTGCTTCTTGAGAAATTTCCTGCAAAAAACAACAATAATTTGATGAAATCAACCAGATTATCATCAAAATTGAAAGAAATTGCAACAATCGAACTGAAACTTGAGGAGTGATAATCGATTAAAGAAAACAACAAAAGTAAAACAAATAATGTCATCAAAATTAGGTGAAATTGAGCTGATTGTGTTAGCAAGCAATGATGAGATTGTAATCAATGATTTTGGGAGAAGTTTTACCTTAAATCGTTATTTAGAGGAGTTTTTTTCTAGAGAAAAAGAGAGAGAGAGAGAGGAAGTTTGTAGAGAGAGAAAGGGAAGATAATGGATTGAGGAAGATTAAGAGCAGAAATGCCTGAATTTTATAGTAGAGTTGTAGTAGCTCTGCTTCCCGCCTCTTTGAATTTTGTTTTGTGAGCATCGCGTCCAATCGCAGCGAGCCACATGTACAATAGTTTGTTATTTTCAACCAACAAATTTTTTTTTTTTTAATTTTTTTTTCTTAAACCACCAAATGTTCTTATATGTTTCTCAAGTTTGTTTATCACTTGTCAAGTTTCTTCCACGTTAATGATTTCTCTTGAAAAATGTTTGGAAAATTCCTACTCCAAAATTATAGTATTTTTTAAAAATAATTTCCTACCGTACACGTCACTGATTTGTCGTATTTTTTTTTAATTTTTTTTTAATTTTTCATAATTTAATAGGAAAACAGATACTTGAAATAGCGGGTCTGTCAAATAAATTGCTGCTTAAAGGTAGCGTTTTCAAATATTTGTAAAAAAAAAAGGCATGATTTGAATATTTTACTTTCTCCTTATTCTCCTCACTTCTCATTTTTAACTGTGAATAGCCAAAAAAACCTCTGGTAAAAAGTTAAGAAGACCAGTCACCCCTTCCACCGTTTGACACGTGCTGCTGCTGCCATCGAAGGTTCGGCCACTTCAAGTAGCGGTATTCAGTTTTTAGTTAAGAAAACCAATTATCAAGTTTACCGGTAAGAAAAAAAGTCAGTTTTCCCCACTTGTTTACATGGACAATAAAGATGGAATAGACACTGTTTTTGGAATTGGATGTTTTGCTAGCATTATTCATGGAAAAGGCTCCTTCGATATGAGAGATGATACACATAAACTTGGTTTATGTAGGGCCAACATAAACTTTCAATAAAAAAATTAACACATCACCCTAAGCCAAAAACAAAGAGAGGGAAAAATGGGAGGGAAAGAATTTCACGATGGCGCTAATTCTGCGGATTTTTTCCTCCTTTATTTTTGGCGCTTAAAATTTACTGTGTTACTAAACAATTATATTATGATACTAATAAATAAAATTTGTAGCTAGAAATAATAATGTAGTCATTAATAAAGAGAGAGATTTTTTATAAGAATTGAATATATATCATTCAATAATATTTTTTAAATTACAAATTAAAAAAATATTATGAAAACGCCTGTGAAATTCTTTTTTAATGCTCTTTCTAAAGACATCCATATTGATATATTTTCAAAAAAAAATTAAATAGTTGGACAATTTTAACCTTACTATAGTGTTGTATTTTACCTTTATTTTTTGCTCTCGATACCAATAAACATCGTTTTGTTATCCAAAATGAATTTAACTTTAAAATAAAGCGATAAAGTATAAAAATAGCATTTCAAAGGATTACAATAAAATAGTTAGTGTAGTTTTGGGGGTGGGAAAAAATGTGGAATGGTTTTGGGGTGGAAAAAAAGAATGTGGGTAGTTTTGGAGGCAAGGGATTGTTTGTGCTCCTTAATATTAATATGAGTTAATTGTTTATTATAAGGCACTACAATTAATCTTGTAACATACAACTATTATTTACTCTCGGTCAATTATTTTACCAAAATAAAGAATATACAAAAATAAATATTTATAAAGTAAGAATAACTCTTCAAATTAAACATCCAATATTAATGACAATACTTTAGTTGAAGGGCTAAACTAAAATAGTAAATAATTAAAATCAAATAGTGGAGGGTTAAAAATATTTCATTTAGAATACAAAAAATAGCTATATATGCAAATTAAATAAAAATAAATATATTGTTAATAAACTTAAAAATACAACAAATAGCTATATATGCAAATTAAATAAAAAAATTAAATATATTATTAATAAAACTTAAAATTTTAATAATTTGGAATCTTTGTTTATATCTTGTAAGTAGATTTCTAACTAATCTTCGTTTCATTAGTATTTAATAATTAGTGAAGGGTTAAAATCAAATAGAGGGGGGTTAAAATATAAAACATTTTTGAAATACATAAAGTAATTATCGATCGGTTACTAATAAATATAGCGTTATGTGAAACAAAAGTTTCAAATAATATATTAATACTTCCTCCGTTACAATTGCAGCTTTAGAATTTTTACTTTCACACCAATAATACCCCAAAGTTTGGTCGAATATTGTTTGTAATACTAATAATTTAATCTAATATGATCTTATTTTTTAATATTAGATAATCGGTTTTTCCAAGGCACAAAAATTATTAAACTTGTAGTGAAACATACTAATCACTTATTATTTTTAAAAATGAAATGATTCTTCTTTATAATAATACAACTACTAAGGGCCTGTTCTCATACGATTATTTACAGTTCAGTTCAGTTCAGCTCTAATAAGTTCAGTTCACTTCAGTTCGGTTTAGTTCAGCTCCTACTTTCCTTCTCTTGTAAAATATTCATTTCAATTCAGTTCAGTTCAGCTCTAATAAGTTCAGTTCAGATCCATTCATTTCAGTTGAGTTCAGTCAATGAGAACATGCCCTAAATCTTGATAAATTGTTTAACCAAAAAGTGAAATTACGCTATTATTACTAGATAATAATTGATTATTAAAACACATTTATTAATATTGTACAAATACAAACACTTGACTAGCAAATAGTGAGATTATACAAAAATAATCATTTTCCAAATATAATAGTGAAGGGTTAAAATAAAATGGTGGAGGGTAATAATAAAATAATTTTGGATTATAAATAATAGTTATCGGTTACTAAAATATATTTAATTTTGTCAAAAATTGACGGATTTAAAAATGCAAATAAGTAAAGTTTTAAAACATATTAATTATAATACTTAAAATTTTCGAAACTTTGTTTACACATTATAAGGACATTTTTAAAAAAATTACAATTGTTATTTTGTAAAAAAGTGAAATTATGCTCCTTGATATTAATACTACCAGAAGTCTAGAAACATGTCTTAAAACTTACAATTGTTGCATCAATAACCAAATTTGGGGAATATTTTTCATGTTAACATCTTCATACTTTATATACTACCTCCGTTAAATTTTAGGAAAATTTACATATTGTAGCCATTTAAAGTTCATATTTTGCAAATTGCAGCCATTTAACAAAAAAAATTGCAAATTGCAACCCAAAAGTTCGTATAAATTGTAAATTGCAGCCTAATTCAACTTTTTCATCGGTTTACATGTCGAAAAATCTTCGGTTAAGGTTTTAGGGGTCATTTTAGGCCTTAAAGGTACGAATTGAGCTCGGAATTAGCAAAAAAAACATAAGTGTCTCATTTTTACAGTTTCTCACAAATCGATACATTTTTGTTACGCAAAACGAGGCACTTGCGTTATTTTTTTTTTTTTTGCTAATTCTGAGCTCAATCCGGGTCCCTAAGAACTAAAATAACCCCTAAAACCTTAACCGGAGAGTTTTCGACATGTAAACCGATGAAAAAGTTAAATTGGGCTGCAATTTACAATTTATACGAACTTTTGGGCTGCAATTTGCAATTTTTTTTAAATGGCTGCAATTTGCAAACTAATGGCTCACATTGCACCCACTCTCATTAATGGCATTCTCGTAATTTCTCTATTTTCAAACCTTTTTTTTCTAGTTTTTTAACTTTTAAGGCAATTTCATTTATTTTAAGACTGATTTCATTTACTTTTACTAAATTTTCATTTACTTTAAGACGGATTTCATTTACTTTTACTAAATATTCATTTACTTTTGAGAAATGAAACTGGAAACTACTTTATAATGTAAAAATATTACAAAAATGCCATTAATGATACGAGAAGCATGTGAGCCGTTCGATTAACATGATCTAAGGGCCTAGATTAGTTCATAGTTCTTATTTTAGCCTTGGTTCTCATTATAACTTGGTTATATATATATATATATATATATATATATATATATATATATATATATATATATATATATATAATTATTTTGATGGAGTCTTCATACTTTATATTTTAATAGTATAAATTGCCATTATTGAAAAACTATAATATAGATTTGAATACTAATTATATTATTGATTTTATTGTGATCTAATTAATGAATATTATTGTTACCAAATAAATTAGAAACTTACAATAATTACAACCCATTTTATTTTTAAGAAACCTGATTTTTTTTCTTTATTTTAATTATCAATTAATTAACTCCAAACGTTTCATACATAGAAAAGTTTGATTAAGATTTAATATATTGTCCTTGTGAATAATCCAATGTTTTCTAACATTTGTTACTAGTCAATAATCTAACTTGACATTTCATACACTGATGTTTAAAATCTGGAAAACTGTTCTTAAAAAAACAATCTGGAAAAATTGAAGAACATTGGAAATAATGAAATTTCAATTCATATAATATTGTACGATTCGATTGAATAACTATATGATATAACATAATTTTTCTTCAATACAACGAAGCTAATATGGTGTATGATCTAAAAAAAAAAAAAGCATCCCTTTTTTTCTAGTTTTGAACATAAGATTCATACAAATAAAAATAAGAAATAAAATTCACAAACCAGATCCTTAACACAACGATAAATAAGATATAATTAAAAAAAATTGTATAACATAACATTGTATATGTATTCATACGAATTTATGAAAAAACATAAGCCAAATATAATAAGTGGAGAATAATTCTTGTAACATGAACAACATTATATGAAAATAAATAAAACTATATTATAGAAAAAATCAGGGGAAAAAATCATACTCCTTCCGTGTTTTTTTAAGTGTTACACTTTAATCTGCACATAGTTTTAGGCAATTTAATTGACTTAAATAAAATAAAAGGTAAGTGGGATAGTTGGAGTATTAAAAAATTATAAAAGAAATATAGTGGGGTTGATAATTTATAGAAAAGTAATGAATATGAGAGGAAAAATATAATAAAAAAAGTAGTAGTGGGTTTGGGTGGGGACCATGAGAGGAGAGAGATATAATATTTTAATGTAGGTTTTGCCAAAAAAAAGAAAGTGTAACACTTACAAAAACACGACCGGAAATGGGAAGTGTAACA